CATGACCTATTTCTACTGTTATATCTGCTAATACCTTACAATTGGATAGTCCTGTTAACATTTTTTTTCTGGGTGGGAATTTTGGGGTTTTTTTTGTGGGATTTTTTCCCAACTGAATCACCTTTCTCTTCATAGTAAAAACTATGGGAAGGGGGTCTGTTGGTGTAACACTAAATAGGTTAGGACAGGTAAGCAAAGAGTAATTTTGTGTTTGTAAGCTAGTTTCGAAAGGCCAAGTTTTGTAAAGGCAACATGTTAACAAAATTTTGTAGTTACATCTATATTGTGTAAATTTGTTGGTATGTCAAATTTTAGTTTTCCTGTTTTACTGGAATGTGAATTCACACTTACAAATTCTAAGGTAGTTTAATAACCTTAAGTGTGGTTTGAATAGTGTTGAGCACTGTCTTGCTGCAGTTATTGTATCCAAATTCTAGGAAAAATAAATTGATGCTGGTTATCATCAATAAATCAACAACCAAAAAATGTTGGTGAATACTTGGAGAAAAACAAGCCTCATTCCCTGTTGGTAGGATGCATGTTTGTACAACCACTATGGAAAATATTATGGAGTTTCCTCAAAAAATTAAAAATGAAACTGCCTTATGATCAAACAATTCAATTTCTGGGGAGTTATCTGAAAAAAAACTCAAAATACTAATTTGAAATAATATATGTACCCCTGTGTTCATTGTACCATCCTATATAATAAAAGGCTAATATGCAAATTGACCAAACAGTGGAATGACCAGTTGCTATGATGAGCACTGATCACCAGTGGGCAGATGCCCAATGCAGGAGCTGCCCCCTGATGATCAGTGTGCTCCCATAAGGGGAGCACTGCTCAGCCAACAGCCGGGCTCATGGCTGGCGAGGGCAAAGGTGGTGGTGGGAGTCTCTGCCTCTGCTGCAGTGGGACATCCCCCGAGGGCTCCTGGACTGGGAAAGGGTGCAGGCTGGGCTGAGGGACCCCCCATGAGTGCACAAATTTCATGCACAAGGACTCTAGTTATTTATATGAGCCAAGCAATGGAAGAAATCCACTAGTCCATCAATAAACAAGTGGATAAAACTATGGTGGAATACATTTACAATGGAATATTTCTTAGAGATAAAAAGAAAATATTATCATTTGCTGCATAATGGATGGACCTAGAGGTTATTATGCTAAGTGAAATAAATCAGAGCAAAATACCATATGATTTCACTTATATGTGGATTATAAAGAACAATATAAATGAACATCAATACAGAAACAGACTTATAGATACAGAGAACAAATTAATGGTTGCCAGCAGGGGTGGGCTTGGGGGACTTGGTGAAATAGGTGAAGGGACTAAGAAGTAAAAATTGTTAGTTACAAAATAGTCATGAGGATGTAAAATATAGCATATGAAATATAGTCAATAATATTGTAATAACTATGCATGGTGCCAGGTGGTACTGTAAATGGGGGGGGGATAGTTTATAAAGTATATGATAGTGTAACCACTATGCTGTATACCTGAATCTAATACAAAAATAAGATTTAATGTAAACTATAATTTAAAAATAATTAAAATATTTTAAAGGTTAAAAAAATGACATTAGGATTAGGTTTAGAGTAAGGATTAGGCTTAACATTTGGGTTGAGGTTAGTTTTAAAGTTAGTGTTAGAGTTAAAGTTAGGTTTAAGGTTGAGGATAGAACGAGGGTTAGGTTTAAATTATGGTTAAGGTTAAGTTGCATTTAGGATTAGGTATAAGTTTGGTTTTAAAATAGGAATGTTTACAAATGAAGTTAAAGGGGTTTTATTGAAAAGGAAAAGTAACAAGTTTACATTTTTTATAAAAAGAACCTAAGTTTTGGTTTAATGGTATATAATATGTTTTTCATAAATTAATAATAAAAAGTTTCTAATTCAGGTATTATAAAAATAGCCCTGGCCGGCTTGCCTCAGTTGGTTGGACGTTTTCCATGCACTGAATGAAAGATTGCCAGTTTGATTCCTGGTTAGGGCACATGCCAGGGTTGCTGGCTGAATCCCAAGTAGGGGGTGTGCAGGAGGCAGCTGATCGTTGTTTTGTCTCATATGGATGTTTCTCTCTCCCTTTCCCTTCCTATCTCTCTAAAAGTCAATAAAATAAAAAAGAAACAATACAAAATCGTCAATAAATGAATGAATAAATAAATACATTAATTAATTTAAAACACTGGTGGATAAATTGAGACATAACAAAGCACATAGTGATATAGGCACATAATGCTCAAGAGAGCCTCTGCTGTAACAGTATGTATTCAATTTACAATGTGAGCTAACATGTTGGGTGGCTCCTGCTTTTGTACATAACTATTTACACCAGTTTGTTACTATAGTATAATAGCAAATGATCAATAAAGAATTTTTTGCCCTCTCAAAACACACACACACACACACACACACACACACACACACACACACACACACACAATTTTTTTTAGTATGTCTACCTTCTCTTGGACCATGGCCCTCTGTTCCTGCTTCATGCTAGTCTGCTATGCTAGCATAGCTATCTGCTCATATCAGGGTTGCTTTGATACACACATTGTATGAGCACACATATTATAGTATGTGCACACATCATAGTTAAGGACTAATATACAAAATAACTCTTCACATGAATCATGATTGTTTAAGCATATACAATAGTTGTCTTAAGCTACATGGATACTTTATTATGCTTGAAGGCTCTATGTTCAATGTTATTATTTTCAGTTTATGTACTACAGTAACTAGAAAATTCACCAACTTTGTCATAAGAATTTTGGTTTCCTGCTCATCTTTATGGTCCTTATCTGCACTTGTTTGATGGTCATCTGATCATGTACCATAGATGTATGCATGTTCATTTAATACTAATATCTGCTAATGTGCTACATTTCTCTGTACAGGGTTGGACCTGTTTTTAGAAATTTGCTAACTTGTAAAGGCTACCTGTTCCAGTATTATATAGAGTTTTAATAACCAATATCATCCCAATACATTTAATTCAAAAATTTAATCATGGTAAAAAATTAACAGGTCTTAAATCTTTAAATGTACATTTTAGTAGTTATGTATATTCATATTGTTGTGCAACAGTCCAGAAGGTATGCTTTTTACAGTTTTTAAAATATGTTTCCATTGATTTTTTAGAGAGAGAGGCAGGGAAAGGCTCTCTTGAGAAGGAAATATTGATTGGATGCCTTCTGCACTGAATCCCTATTGGGGATCAAGCATGCAACTCCTGGCATGTGCCCTGACCATGAATCAAACCAACGACCTCTTGGTGCATGGGTCGATGCTCAAACACTGAGCCACACTGGCTGGGTAGGTGGTATGCTTTTGATAATGTACAATGGCTTAATGGAGTGAGTATCAGGTCCCTCTTCTCTTATTCAGTGACTACTATGTTCATGTGCTATGGTTTTCTGACATTTAGCATGGTTAAATTGTTTTACCATACATATCTCCACATGCATTGTAATAATGAGATTTGCTATCAAAGTGTCATGGTAGTTGGGGACTACATATTATGTCCAACTTCTATATATCATAGCAGTCTTTTCATGCATTATGATTATTTGAATATGTACCTTAGTCATTAAGTTAATATAAAATTCTTCTATTTTTATGTATCATACTACATATCATAGTCTCTCCTTCCAAATCATTGGTATCTGCTTCTGTTCATTAGCACCTATTCTTAGTGTGAAGGTTCGCTGCATATTTATCATGATTATTTGAATGTAACTCATACTAGAATATCATAGTTGTACACACTGTTAATCTTTTTGCTTATGCAGCATGGCCATCTTCTCCAGAATCATTAGTTATGCATTTATGTTTTCTGAGTATCCACCATGGTTATGTCTTACATTTCATGGATCATTTCAATAATTTGGACTTATAACTTATACCAAGTCTCTTTGTTTCTGTAAAGTAATTGTCAATCTTGCATTATCTAAGCTTTGATGTTTGTCATGTGATCAATCATACAACATTAGAATCTGCCAAAACACTGTGGATGTTTGGATATATATTATGGTTTCTGCCTATACTAGAGTTGTCTGTGCATACACCATATTTTCTTACTTATATGCCATGAACTGTTCTGTTTCTGTTAATTTCTGTAAAGTGACCAGCATCTTCTGTACAGCTTTGAATCATGAATGCTACAGCACATATATTAGATTGACAAGAAATTGCTGTTTTGTGAAACAAAATTGTTGCATATTTGTCCATAATTTTATGTGATACTACCTAATACTATGACTACATATTCCTATATGTAATGTGGACATTTCATTATATCAGAAGTCCATGTTCTCCAGTACCATAGTTTTCTATGCTTATACCAGTTTGTGTTGGGGAGCCTGTACCTAGTGTATTAAATTAATATTCAGATTATATAAACTGCATAATGAGGAGGCACAATCTACTCACACAGGGTTTTCAGGAAAATTGTTTAACTGAACTGTATCAAGATGAGAATCCTAATTATGCTAGAAAGAGATTCCAGGTCTTAATATTCTGGTGTTTTCTACAATACTTAACTATGACAAAGGCATTTGTGGCAGTAAATATCAGAGAGAAAGGGTGGAAAATAAAATTAAGACATGAGAGATTAATTTAAATTTTTGGATTATAAGATATGACTGAGGCTGAGAGAAATTTTGTGAGTTACCTAACCACAAGAAGACAAGGAAAGAAATGAAGCTGTAACCTAAGGCTACTGTTTACTGATTTAGAGCTCTTTACATTACTTTTACTTGGATGGGCTCTGTTAAATTCAAAGAGGAGTAGATTGAATTTTGGTGACATTGATTAACTGAAGAAAGGGAATTGTCACATCAAGCATTAGGTAACTAGATATCAGGGAAGTTAAATGAGTCTAATAGAGTTAAAATATTTTTGAAATTTCTTCTTTCTCCTTTCCATTGCCTACTTATTTCCTCTTTTTCTTTCCCTCACAGGACTCTCTAAGTTGGTGCCTATGAAGATGATAATCAAAAGAATGAGTTACTTCTACATGACCAGCTTTTGGCTTCTCTTCCTGATTAATATTCCCCCTGAAACAACTGGCCAAGGGGAATCAAGACGACAGGAACCTGGGGATTTTGTGAAGCAGGATATTGGCGGGTAAGAGGGCTTACCAATAGAAAATAATCCTGTGATAAATTCTTGTCTTGGACAAAAAATTTAAGTTTTTTCAGATGAACTAAAGTACTCTGGTCCTTGATACTAGACATTGCATTGAATTTGTAAAAGCATAAGCAGCTCAGACTGTCAAGGTAGAAAGAGATCTCTTGGGCAACTTCCGAGCCCATGTTTGAATTCTCTCTATAACACCCAAAAGGCAATCTGTCCAGTCATTTGCTCTGTCTTTTTTAAATCTTTAATCTGTCCCTTATTTTTATTGGCTCTGTCCTATTAATATTTAAATATGATCAAGAATCTTCCATCTTAAATTTAAACTTTCCTTCAGATGGCGCTTTAAATCTTTTCTCTTCTTTACAGTTATCCTTCTTAAAGGAGTGGTTTTCTTTATTTTCTTTATCTACCTTTCACTGTGCTCCATTGGTGCTGTCTGACTTCCAACCCCAGAATTCTAAGGCAACTTAAGCAAACAACATGGTCAATGTTGACTCTGTTTCTAAAATGATCATTTGTCTTTTCTTATCTCTCTATATAAAAGCCTAATATGCAAATTGCCCCCTCAGGAATTCTACCTAGAGATTGGGAGTTCAATTGCTTACTATGATGTGCACTGACCACCAGGGGTCAGTGTGGAATGAATGAAGGCCCCAACTGGCAGCAGGAAGGCCCTGATAGACCCTGATCACTAGCCAGGCCTAGGGACTCTACCCATGCATGAATTTTGTGCACCAGACCTTTAGTACAACATAATTTCTTTAGTACCATGTGGCAAAATTCAGCATTGTTGACTCTTTCTTCCTTCCTTAACTCCTTTGTATTATGAAATAAAACATCCATAAATATGCATAAGTTTAAACATAATTCTTTCTTTCACTTCAGAGATACCACAATACCCTGGTTCTTAGATTAGGTTCTCTAGAAGCAAGGCCCAGGACAAAATCTCTTATAGTAGTCCAAGTGGAAGAAAACATATTCCCTTTTTTAAGGAAATACGTACCATATTTCCGTGTCTAGTAACCTGATGTCATTTAATACAACTGGAAAGAGATCCACACAATTGCTCTCAGGAGTCAGTGCTAGCCAGGTCTAATAATTAAATATTATTGAGGACCTGAACTATAAACATTTATAGCATTAGAAATTAGAACAGAGAAATTTATCATTATTATTATTATAAAAATAAGTATTTATTGTTGAAAATATTATGTATGTCCCTCTTTCCCCCCCCCCCAATTGACCCCCTCCCGCCTACTCCTGCCTCCTCAGCCCAACCCTTCAGCACCCTATTGTCTTGCCTAAGAAAAGGTTTCTTAAGTAAATAATTTATTGGGAGAGTGCTCTCAAAGAAAGTTATATGGAAGTAAGAGAAGCAAGTTGGAAAGAAGAAGTAAAGCAAATGCATGATTTCACTTAAAGTGTAGCTTCCATTTGACCCCACAGGGTGCTATAGAACATGAATGGCACTAAAGAATTGGCCCACCTTGAGGCAATGGAATTGGGCTTTTGTAGCCTCACCTCAATCATTCATTGTCTGAAGGCTGAATAGAGAAAGAAATAACCTAGGCTCCCTTCAGCAGATGGTAATATTCTAAAATTATTGTGGATGGTTTCCCTGGCCTGGTGAAAAATCTAGATATACTACCAATATTACACCTGGGCTTCTTTTTACTTTTATGACTATGCTTTCTATAATATTTTCTACAATATTGCACAGCTATATCAAAGCTTTTGTGATATGAAGATCTTTTGTAATCTGGCAATCTTCTTTTCCATTGTTCATTATGCAGGTAATGGTGGTGTTTTGTTTTGTTTGTTTGTTTTTGTTTTTTTGTTTTAAATCAGGTGCTCTTTTTTACTACATAGACTCCTAAGTGACTTAATCCATCCCCATGACATTTTTACCTTACATATATACCAATGACTCTTATATCAATTGCTGTTCCTAATTTGGCTACTGTCCCATATTCTTGGAAGCATTAAGATTTGATTCTAATTATTTTTGCAGGGTTGATTACCTTAATGTACTCTGAGTCTTTCCATCTCTGAGCAGAGGGCTATAGAACTGGACTAATATGTCTTTAGATACTTGGCCCACGTGAGGTTCTTTTTGTTCTTTACCCCTGTTAACGGAAAAAAAAAAAAAAAAAAGAAAAAAAAAAAAAACCCACATTGAAACCTGTAAAGAATTTTGTGAGTTTATTTGAGCCAAACTTTCGACATATGCCGGGAAGCAGAACCTCAACTGATTGAGATAATGCTCCCAAGAATGGCGGGTTACATTTCTCTATTTATACACTGAAATCAAAGGAGGGACATAGGTGGGTTACATGAAATTCATTGGTGATGGAGTAAGGAGGCGGGAGAAAGCAAAGCAGTGGGAAACTTCTGGGGTTGGATAAAAAGTAAAATGATGGACCTGTACTCAGGTGAGTGCAGGAATAATTAACATGATAACAAAGGAATTTGAGGCATCTGTCCTGGAGCTCACCACATTTGGTTGTGCCCCAGAGACTCTGGAAAAGGGGAAGTTACAAGTTAGGCAAATGGGCTCAGTAAAAAGATCGAAGTTGATCTTTGTCTGGGAAAATATCTGAGACATAACTACCTACTATAACCTGTTAGATATATAATTTTCAAACCATCTTTTGTGGTTATCTTAGGTCTCTGGGTTTGCAAGACTGCCACGCAGGCCTTCCCTGAGCTTGTCAGGTTAGCATGTGGCTCTTTTCTTTCACACCCCACTCTGAAGAAAAAAAAAAGATTAATTCTGCTTTATTAACTTTCATGTATCTGATTTCAGTGTGCAATGATAGACATTCTAAGTAAGGAGGAAGTTCCAAATACACGAACCTTATCTCTTCAAATATTTTTATTAAAAATGTTCAATATTCACATTATTACAAGTGTCCTAAATCTAACAATAGGACATGGCCACTTGGCTATTTCATAAACTGTTTAAACTAAGTATGTCTAAAATATAATAGTAGCATTATCTTCATCTCTCTCCTTCAACTCTAAAAACAAAGAACAAGCAAACACAACATGTATCCTATTGCTCAAGCCAGAAACTTGGAATCATTTTGGCCAATTTTCTACCCTTCACTCTTCAGATTAAATCAACCACCAAAAGCTGTCATTTTTACCTCACACATCCATTAGATTCAGCTACTTTTTAAAAAATATATTTTATTGATTTTGCACAGAGAGGAAGGGGGAGAGAGAGAGTTAGAAACATCAATGAGAGAGTCATCGATCAGCTGCCTCTTGCACACCCCCTACTGGGGATATGCCCGCAACCAAGGTACATGCCCTTGACCGGAATCGAACTTGGGACCCTTCAGTCCCCAGGCTGATGTTCTATCCATTGAGCCAAACCGGCCCCGGCTAGATTCATCTACTTTTTTCCAACTTTCCTGCTACCACTCTAATTTAATATAATGTTTTCTTCTACTTGGACAGTATACTATAAGAGTCTCTAATTGGTTTTACTTCCTAAAATCTTGTTCCCATTCAGAGTAACTGTCACTCTGTAGCTAGTGTTTCTTCTACAGCATATGTTAAATCATATCTTTCCTGTTTAGAGTAATTTAATGGATTTTTTTTGTCCCTAGATTAAAATCTAAACTTCTTAACATGGTTTTATAATGCCCATTAATTCCTAGGCTCTACCCATCTTGTCAGCCTATTTTGTAGTCCTCCTGTCATCAAATTCTGTTATTCAGCTATATTGAACTTCTTTTTAAAAACTTCTTTTGATATAAAATCCCATTTAATTCAAAGAATATCATTATTAGAAATGATTCCCTTAGCCTTGAAATAGTTCAATATTACACAGTGTATTTTGTTCTTTGATAGTGGCTTCTCTGTTCTCATTTTACATTTGGCTATGGTCCCATATTCTTGGAAGCATTAAGATTTGCTTCTAATTATTTTTGCAGGGTTGATTACCTTAATGTACTCTGAGTCTTTCCATCTCTGGGCAGAGGGCTATAGAACTGGACTAATATGTCTTTAGATACTTGGCCCATGTGAGATTCTTTTTTTTTCTTTACCCCACTCTGGAAAAAAATTAATTCTGCTTTACTAATTTTTCATATATCTGATTTCATTGTGCAATGATAGATATTCTAAGTAGGGAGGAAATTCCAAATACATGAACCTTATCTCTTCAAGTATTTTTATTAAGATTTTTCAATATTCACATTATTGCAGGTGTTCTCCCTTTTCTCCCTTTTTGCCCTTTCTGCCTCCCGTGACCTTCACGAAATTACTGTCCTTGTCCATAGGGTATGCATATATGTTCTTTTGCTAGTTTCTTCATCTTCTTTATCCACTCACCCCCACTCCCATCCCTTTGGGCACCAGCCAGTTTGTTTCATGTGTCCATGCTTCCAGTTCCATTGTATTCATCAGTCTATATTGTTAATTAGATTCCACATATTAGTGAGATCATATGGTATTTGTCTTTCTCTGACTGCGTTATTCCGCATGGCATGGTACTCTCTAGATCCATCCATATTGTCACAAAGAATATATATATATATATGTATATGTATATGTATATGTATGTATATATCCCGTTAGTATTGTGTTTCTGTACCATAGCTTTTCTATCCACTCATCTCCTGATGGGTACTTAGGCTGTTTCCAGATGGTGGCTATTGTAAATAACACTGTTATAAACATAAGGATGCATATATTCTTTTTCATTGGTGTTTCAGGATTCTTAGGATATATTCCAAGAAGTAGGATTGCTGCATCAAAAGGCAGTTCCATTTTTTAATTTTTTAAGGAAACTCCATACTGTTTTCCACATTGGCTGTACCAAATGGCATTCCCACCAACAGTGCACAAGGGTTCCCCTTTCTTCACATCCTCACCAGCACTTGTCCTTTATTGATTTATTGATGGTAGCCATTCTGGCAGGTGTGAGGTGATACCTCAATGTTGTTTTAATTTGCATATCTCTTATGATTAGTGACCTTGAGCATTTTTTTTCATATGTCTATTGGCCATATGTATGTTCTCTTTGGAGACTTTATTTTTATTTATAGTTTTCATATTGCATTATGCTAGTTTAAGCATATATTTAAATCTTACTATATACCTAGCATGAGTCTAAATCCTTTACATATGTTGACTTATTTTTATAACAGATCTGCTAGCTAGTTGCAGCTGTTATTCCTATTTTAGAGATAAAATATGGAAGCATGGAGAAGTCAAATAACTTTCCAAAGCTCTCACATCTAAAACGTGTCAGAGCCAGTACTGAAACCCAGACAACCTGGGTCTTAGAGTTCGTGTTATCAACTGCAACAATATATTGCTTTTCATGCATTTGGTCACTTTTATTTAAGAACTAGGCACATGCCCATTTCTTTTATGTAAATGAACATTTAGGTTCATATAGTGATCCCTCAAGTTCTGAATACTTAATATATCAGCCACAGACTGATTGGCTGGCACTTGTGAAAATGGGCAGGTCCAATTTTCTTATAAGACCTGAAGGAATAAGAAATACATTTCTCCTTTGAAGTAGAAATGTAGTATTTGTGACACAGGCCATGGATGGACATTTGAACCTAAGATGAAGAATTCGTGGTAGGTGGTGCTATGACTTCCTATTGTATCACATCATAAGGAAAGGTCATCTCAGTATTACTGCTGCTAAATATAATATCTTGATTAAGGTGATAAACATCAGGACTCTCCATTGTAAGAATACCAGCCACCAGTATTGATTGAGATATTTGAGCTTTTGGACATGGGAGTGGAATAGAGAGATAAGAGATAATCAGGAAGAGTTTTGCACAAAATCAATTGAGTTCCAACAGACTTTCATGTAATGTGGATTCAGAATATTGGTTGATTGAGCCAACTATAGGCTATCACCTGGAAGGGTGTCTGTATATATATCTTTAGCTTATTGATGTCAGTTAGTTCTTCACTACAATTCCCTTCTTTCTTCTTCCTCCCCCTTCCTAATGAATCTGTATCACTTTTAGCACTCTGTCCACTAAAGCAGTCAATCTTTCTACTCTTCACTGGGTTTCAATGCCTCTCTGGCCAAAGCTTCCTTTATAGCTTTTGGTTGATGGTGAGCCAATATTTTGTTACTATTTAAACTTGAATAATGCATTCAACTACATAAACTACTATTTTTTAAAAAAAGAAAAAAACGAATTGTGAATACATCTAGATATTAAGCATTAAGATTGGCAATTTTAATATAGTATTTAATATATAAATAATAATATAACATATCTATGAAGTTATTTTAATTTTAAAAATGATAAAACTTACTATAGGTGCTATATGACTTACTTAAGGTCACACAACTGATCAATTCAAATGCATGTCTCCAGATTCTTTTAGCATAGTTACATTTTTCCTTCCATGAGTACCTATTTTATCATTTGATTATCTCAGAAACCCAGTAAGCAGGGAAATATTACTTATCTTGTTTCACCTTTTTTCCTTGCTCTATCGCAACATGTAGAATAGTAATAGGTACATAGTTGATGCTTAATAAAAGATGTATCGAATGATCAATTGATTTTAATTAGGTTTATGAATTAAGGGGGAAAATTGGGGGCCCAAATGAATTTTCTGGAATTATTAGCTAGAAAGTGACAGTTTAGAGTAAAACTTTTCAATTCAGGAGTTTCTACTATTCTGTAGATCTTTCTCAGTCTCTTTTTTCAGAATAGGAACTTTCTCACTGCTAGGGATAAATATTGATGGGGATACTATTGAGTATTTCTTAAGACTCCTCAAATATTATCCAATGTCTTTTATAGCCCTGAATAAGTGCATGCTAGGAATAATTATTATATTTGCCCTTTCTCTATAATAGAAGTGTCTGCGGGCACTTTGGGTGACACCAAGACCTGGCCAGCCCCACCCCTGTGTAGCCCTGCCTTGCGGGGGATGCAGCCTCACATTCCAGCATAGGGGTGGGGGTGAGGGGGCGCGGCCTCAGGGGGACCCGCAGAACTGGAGGCACCAAACCCACCTCTGCAGCTCCACATGCACACAGCCTCCTGGTGATGGATTCTGACAGAGTGAGGGCATCACAGCCTGACGCTATGAGGGCATGGCAACTAATTGCATATTAGCTCTTTACTATATAGGATTAATTTCAATCTCTGGGTCCAAAGTAAGAATGGGAAAGGCAAACCTAAGGAGATACACCAGTGTAACTTACTTAATTGGTCTATTCAAAATAAATCACAAATACAGCTGGCATGAGGACCTAAGATTTCTGACTTTTGGTTTGTTACTTAATTTCACACCATGCTTCTTGACCCTTGGCAACTACAATTTCTTCCACAATTTTCTCTTTTCCCTAAACTACTTAGAGCCTTTATTTATTTCTAGTCCTGTGAAACTACAATAAGCTCTTCAGGAGGGCCTGATTAGGTGGTTAGAATCGTGACTAGTACTTTGAAAGGCTTACAAAAGGCATCCAAGATGAAGAAGTAGGAGGTAGCTAAGCATTACTAGAAAACCAGAGAACTTAGATTACAGTCTTATCTCTACCTCTAAGTATCAATATGTCTGTGGACATATTTGGTGTCCTCTCTGAGTTTATTTCTTTATGTATAAAATGAGAGATTTTAGGGAATCTCTTAAGAGTTCTGATAACTTGAACATTTAATGTATTACTATTGCTTTGTTGCCCTATCTCCTTAGGTGGGATGTTAAAAGACTAGATGCAATTCAAAGGTTTGTCTGACTGTTAGTCTATGAACCTGTGTTTATCTAGTCTAGAAAAAGGGTAAGTTCCTAGTTTAAAAGTTTTCCATGCTTTATTTTGAGTTCCTTTCATTTATTCAACAAAATTTGTTGAATCAACTTTTTGCCAGGTACTATTTCTAAGGACATTCTGTCCAGAATTTCTCCTTGTGTTTCTCTACTGCTGGGTTGGGGCTGGATCATTTGTTTGGTAAAGCTCATGCCAATGCTGGAATAAGAGTACAAGTACAGTGACCACTGTCTGCCCCCATTCATAGGTAATCATTGTGACAAATATTAAGTGCTTACTGGTTTGGTTAAAATACAAGGCTATTTAATTGACCCAGTCTATTGATTGAAATATTCTTGAATTAAAGTGTCTAGAAATGTAATTGTTTCTTATTAAGAACCATTTTTTCATTTATTTTTCTTCTATTGCTTCAGACTGTCTCCCAAACATGCCCCAGATATTCCCGATGATAGCACTGAAAACATCACCATCTTCACCAGAATCTTGGATCGTCTTCTGGATGGCTATGACAACCGGCTGCGACCTGGTCTTGGAGGTCAGTTATTATTTTAAAATCTTCTGCTTGGCTATGTTCATCTGAAAAAGTTCTTTAAAAAAAAAAAAATATATATATATATATATATATTAATAAGTTTTTATTGTTCATATTATTACAAATGTTCCTTCCCCCCCCACCATTGCTCTCCTCCACCAGGTTCCCACCCCACCCTCTGCCCTTTCCCCACTCCCCATTGTCCTCATCCATAGGTGCAGAGTTTATGTTCAGTCTCTTCCCACATCCCCCTCTTATTCAGAAAGGAAGGGAGAGGGAAAGATAGAAACATCAATGATGAGAGAGAATCATTGATTGGCTGCCTCCTGCACACCCCACACTGGAGATGGAGTCCACAATCCAGGCATGTACCCTGATTGGGAATCGAACCATGACCTCCTGGTTTGTAGGCAATGCTCTGAGCCATGTCGGCCATGATAGATAGTTTTGTGTGTTTTTTAATCAGAGTTTTGGCTGTTTGTGCCGGTGTCTCACTATGCAGCTTTGCCTTTGTGGCAGAACTGGAAGAGAATAGAAGAAGAAGAACAAGAAGAAGAAAAAAGATTCTTTTACCAAGTTTTGAATCCCTTCCATAAATCACCTATTTGTTTGTGTTTTATTTATTTATTTATTTATTTATTTATTACTTTTCAGAGTCCTTGAGTCGGTGCTTTTATGTTTTATTCAGAGATTTTATTTAGAATCAGTGGGAGAGAAAGACTTCATTATACTTAATCCATCCCCAGAAGTCACTTTAGTTTTGTTTTAATTTTAGTTTTTCACCATGTTTTTCTTAGTCTAGTTGTTTTGTGGTTTTCTTCTACTCTGAGCCCTATTCCAAAATAGATTTACAATAGTATTTTGAAATATTTTCTCTATTGTGATATTGCCAATTCACTCCAGGTCCAAGGAGTTTACTTGGCTCAATTCCTAATCCCAAGACTATTATTTTGTATATCATGTCATCCACACCCACCCCCCAACCCAAGCTTGTAGCCTCAAGCTGAGCCCTAAGCATCAATTCAGCTTTGCTTTTTCTATCTTCTTTAAAAGGAGAGCCCCAGCTCAGATCAGTAAATACATGGCCTGTTTCCAGCCTTCCCTTTTTTACAGAGAAATATTTTAATCTCTTTTACTGCAGTTACTTTCAGACTCATAACTCCGGCTTCATCCTTACACATTTGTTTTGTTGCTATTCCATGATATTTTGATCTTTCATTTGAAACAACTATATCGTTTTGTCACATATTTCATGCTTTATCTCTCATTATTGTGTGTTTGGATCAGAGTAGTTATACTGAGATATGAAGTTACTTGTGCCATCTTATCTGGAAGTCCCAAACACTTCTTAAGGATGGTAATGTATATGACTCTGGTAGCATTTTCTAATATATTTTGGCCTTGGAAACTATAGTATTTTTTAATATTTGAATAATAACAAAAGCAACTACTATTTTTAATTTAAATTTTATTGGGGTGACATTAGTCTACATGAACATATAGGTTACATGTGTGGATTACTGTTACAAGATCTGTATATTGCACCATGTGCCCACCTCCCAAAATCAAATCTTCTCCTGTCACCTGATATTGGGACCCCTTTCTTCCCCCAACCCTCTCCCTCTGGCAACCACCACACTGCTGTTTGTGTTAATAAGTTTCAGTTTTATATTCCATATATGTGTGAGATCATATAGTGCTTAGCTTTTTCGGTGTGACTTATAACTGCCATTTTTATAGATAAAGAAACTAAGGTATAATTAACTTGAAGTAGGACCAGTACTACATATTCATAAACCAATGGTTTTGCCATTTATTAATTTTATGTTTAAGCTAAAATTTAGTAGGCCCTGGGAAAATACCAGAGCATCCTTGTAACATTTTACGATATTTCAGCCATTTTAAAGATTCTGTTACTTCTCCCCTGGCTTTCAGCTTTTCCTGTAGAGTAGAGAAGCCATTGTGTTTTCTTGGTCATTGTTTGGGCACTGCCTCAACTTCCTTCTCTAATGTTTTTAAAATGTTGCCCCATGGAAACCCTTTTAGCTCTCAGGAATGGACTCTATTTGCAGCAAAGAGCTATGCATTTTTGTAGAGGAAGCTTTCTAATGTTTTCCTTTTTTCTATAGCTGATACTGACATTTCTTTCCATGTGTATGGATAGTTCAACATAGTTACCCTTTTCTGCTGGAACTCCAAATCCAGATATTGCCATAGGTCCCTATCACAGGAAAGGGAAGTCACTGGAAAGTCTGAGGGAAAAGATATTCTAGGAAGGTGCTTCTGTAGACCTATAGTAACAACCCATGGGATCATTGAGCACAGCATCCTTTCTAGAGAAAACTGAAAAATACCATTTGAATATTTTATTTCCACAGAGTAAAACCTGGATATTATTATTATTTTCTATCTCCTTTACTGTTTTAGTGCTTATTCCCACCCCGCCCCCTACAGTGCCTATCTTTTTGCTCTTTGTTTATAATTTAGTGCTTCTGATTTACTCTAGGTTTAGAAACCAGGAAACCAAAGATTTATATAGTAGTTTTAAATGTACTTTAGATATTGCTGTGCTGAATCCCTTCATGTTCTGTGATGGGGCGACCCGCAAGAGATGACCACCAGAGACAGAGATCAAAACGTATGAGCCTTTAATAAACTGGCAGTGACTGCAGTTGCAGCACTCTACCGTGGTAAAGGCAGAACTGCAGTGCAGATCACAGGTGTTACAGCAAATTTATTAGGTCTAGTAATAATTAATGTCGTTTTCTAATACTTTTTAAAATCGAATTTATTTAAACAATACAACAAAATTTAATCAACAATATAGTTGCCGTTGTTTTCTACTACTTGTGCCCAACGCTCAGGAAGCATTTTAATCCCTCTGTTGTAAAATTCTTGTGATTTTGATGCAAAAAATTCGGTCAATGCATTTTTGAGGCATTCTTCATTATTAAATTTTTTTCCAAGAAGGAAGTTTTGCAAAGAACGAAACAAATGGTAATCGGAAGGGGCAATGTCAGGAGAATATGCAGGTTGAGGGAGAACTTCCCATTTCAACTGGCGCAGTTTTTCAGCAGTGATTCTTGCAGTATGCGGTCGTGCGTTATCGTGGTGAAGAATTACGCCCTTCTGATTAATCAGCGCGGGTTCTTTTTCTCTTAAAGCTTGGGCTAACCTTTCCAATTGGGCACTATACACTGCACTTGTAATGGTTTGGTTAGATGGTAAAAGTTCATAATGAAGAATTCCTTTAAAATTCCACCAAACACACAACATCACTTTTTTCGCATGCAAGTCAGGTTTTGGCATGGGCTGCGGAGCCTCATTTTTGTCCAACCATTGAGGCCGCCCTTTCAAATTAACATACAGCACCTATTTTTCATCTCCGGTAACAATTTGCTCTAAAAACGGCAAATGGTTTTGACGAGAGAGGAGCGAACTGCAAATTGTGACTCTTTGATTACGGTTGTTGTCGGTCAACTCATGAGGAACCCATTTTCCAAACTTTTGGACTTTGCCAAGTGCATGCAATTGATTGGAAATTGTTTTTTGTGAACGATTTAAAGTTGTCACAAGCTCTTGTTGGGTAATTTGAGGATTTTGCACCAAAAGATCTTGAAGAGCTTCTTGATCAAAATTGGACACATGGCCTCGACCACTCTTGTCATCTAACGAAAAATTTCCCTCACGAAATTTCTCAAACCAACGCTGGCATTTTCTGGCGCTAACTGCATCTTGACCAAGAGCACTACAGATGTTTTTTGCAGCCTCACTTGCTTTTCTTCCTAATTGGAACTCGTAAAGCATGCAGTGCCGAATATGCTCTTCATCCGCCATCTTCTTAGCCCTAGTTTTGCAACAAAAACCAAACCAAACACAAACTTTTTCAAGCAAAACTTGTTAATTGCACTTCACACGTTCTGTAGATACCACGTATTTGAAGGTTATGTCAATACAAGTCAACGCCAAGCAAGATTTTAAACGAATGTTTAAAAACGACATTGATTATTACTAGACCCGATATACTCAAAAACCACAAGAGGGAGGTAGAACATTTATAGTGACAACCCAATGTTATAAAAGTTATTTCAGCTGTTTCCAAGAAACTCGGGGCACAGGTGCAACACCTGGGCATGCTTGGCCGGAGCTTGAACCTCTAAGTCCCTCTAAACTCCAACTGACCCATTGTTCAGTGATCTACTCTACCTCCCTCTGTCCTAGGACATCCTGCTCTAGGCAGTGGAGGACCTGAACAATGTTTGCAGCCCAGAACAGTTCTAGATAAGGAAATTGAGGCTCAGAGAGGTACAAGTGCCATTCAAAATAATAGTTTGTTGGTAGCATTGCTCAGGTTTGTACCACGATCTGAAATGAGATTCAGTGTTTTTTGCATTATATTCTGGCTAAGTATTGGATTAGGTAACAAATAATAGGTGCAGGGTAAAGGTTGCAGGAGATAAATATCCAGAATGAGTGAAAGACAAATGCAACCATTTGAATTAAAACTTGAGATATGTTTTGGTGCTTTACAATTTAAGTATTAAATACCAGATTTAAAGGAAGATGAAATGCAGAGGGTGATGGTACAGGGATCACTGTTTTTGTGGAATTGGTGAAAGGAGTTGAGTGATCTGGGTGCTGTCTAATGCCAACAGCTGTATCTGGCTTGGGACTGAAAGCATTTTAAGGTCTCTTTAAGATTGAAATTCCTGAGAATTTTGGGAATCAGGCAGTTAATTTTGTTCTGTACTACCTGTGGGAGGCTCAAGATTCTATCAATAGTGGAATGAAAGAGAACCCACAGTGATTAGGTAGGTGGTAATTGTTGTCTCTTTTAAATATTGTGGTATGTTTTACTGGTGTGTTATAAACATGCATTGCGTATAGCTAGCTATTGAAGATTTGCTGTACATTTTAGGTTCCAGACACTAGATGGAGCAGCATAGACGCTGTTGGATTTCTAACAGACCAAAAATGAAAGTCGTGAGTTCTGTCAAAACAAC